TAGAAAAAAAAAACAAGAATTCTTGTGATAACACTTAATTTTAAATTTCAATACAAGAGAAACAAACTTTACACACCATTGAATTTATAGTTTAAGAGCTGTTTATCCTATCTGGGGTCAGTGAAAAACATACTACCACTCCCCAAGATGCCAACCACAATAGTCAACTAACACGTGTACCTATTTATTGCTAGATGAACAGGGGCAGAAGGTGTAAGGAGACTTACTCGTATATTTCACTGTGTCTGAACATCGAACTATGGGTCCCTCCAGTTATGTACAGAACTTCAAACCAGCCAAGAAAAAGGACACACTTTTCTGAACTATGAACTGAAGGTTTTAATTAATACCAGATATGCACTAATAGTCGAAGACTCCAATTACCCAAACGTCAATTATAGCAATTGGAGCAATCCATCTGATCAAGAAGTTAACAGGCTAATTAGAATGATTGATGGTATAATTTTTTTTTAGCCAATTACGGTTATAATGGGAGACAAGATTAACATCGCTACTGTTCTGCAGTCTGTTTTCCTGCAGACCTTAATGATCCACAGTGAATATCGTGAAGCATCTCTGAGGGGCTTGTGTATAAGAGGTCGATAATCTATCAAGTCTGTGGGGCTCATTCTTACGTTGCATAAGTGATCTTATTTAATTATAAATGGTGAGTGAGAAATAAAGTGAGAACATCATCAAACAGGATATATACACTGAGTAGTATGTATTTGTATCTTTCAGTGTATATACTCTGAATGTTGCGAAGTACAGAGATATGTCTGTCTCTCAGTGTACGTATATATTTGTATCTTCCCGTGTCTTGACACAAGAGTTGTGGATATACACAGAAATGTGTACCTTTCGGTGTATATACAGAGAGATGCATATATCTCAATTTATGTACTTCGAGAGGTGGACATATATAAACTGATAATCCACCTGACAATGACTTACCACAGTATACACCAATTAATTTCTCCGTGACTCCAATAAGCCCAGAGTACCAACATACTCGGGGCATCAGTAAATGGGCAACATGACTATGACAGCAAGAATCCTTGGGCACAAACATAGCCCAGGCAGCAACATAACCCTGGCAGCAACATAACCCTGGCAGCAACATAACCCTGGCAGCAACATAACCCTGGCAGCAACATAACCCTGGCAGCAGCATAGCCCTGGCAGCAACATAACCCTGGCAGCAGCATAACCCTGGGAGCAACATAACCCTGGCAGCAACATAACCCTTGCAGCAACATGGCCAGTCCACCAGCAAAAGTCTACATATATTTGTTACTTGAGCGGATCTCAGTCAAACACTCCTTGACTCCCTGGATTCTCTCAATAACTAGACACGAGTCTCAAGTCCCATCCTAGTCACTCTTAAAGCCACGGTTGACGATCTTCAACCTCGAGGCTTGGACATGCTGAAGGAAGTTGGAGAGGTGGTCATTAGAGGGTAATTGAACACTTGAGGGAGCAGCTCAGCAGTTTACAGATACCTCAGGGGAAAACTAGAGGAGAAAGATGGTCATTAGTTACGCTTTCTAGTGACTCCTGCGTAGTGGACACGACGTTAAGTCTCTCTGAAGACGTCAAGATTAATACATATCGATTTAATTAAGGACGACAAGTTATCGTAGTTTGGTTGCCGTGTCACTTGTGTGTATTGTTGTGACCAGCCTTCAGTGACTCCTCCAAGCAGTGACCTGCCTGTCAGGTGTGTCCAGTGTCTGTTGATGTGACCAGCCTTCAGTGACTTCTCCAAGCAGTGACCTGCCTGTCAGGTGTGTCCAGTGTCTGTTGATGTGACCAGCCTTCAGCAAAAACTTTACGGAATCAGTGGCAGAACCACAGGAGAAAGGATCATACATTTTTGCTGAGGGTTGAGAGAGAGAGAGAGAGAGAGAGAGAAGAGAGAGAGAGAGGAGAGAGAGAGAGAGAGAGAGAGAGAGAGAGAGAGAGAGAGAGAGAGAGAGAGAGAGAGAGAGAGAGAGAGAGAGAGGAGAGAGAAATATAAACACAAGAAAAGTCTCGGTCTTGGGCTCAAGGCAAAAGTCAGCAAAAATCACATCTGAAATTTTCTGAATATATTTTGAGATCCTGGCCGTGTGTGTGTGTGTGTGTGTGTGTGTGTGTGTGTGTGTGTGTGTGTGTGTGTGTGTGTGTGGTGTGTGTGTGATGTATGTACTCACCTAGTTGCACTCACCTAGTTGAGGTTGCAGGGGTCGAGTCCAAGCTCCTGGCCCCCGCCTCTTCACTGGTCGCTACTAGGTCACTCTCCCTGAACCGTGAGCTTTATCATACCTCTGTGTGTATGTGTGTGTGTGAAGTAGAAACAATGAGAAACTTCAGAGAAAGGTACGATAGATCCACTTAAAATCAGTCAACAGGACGGTAAGACTATGATCCCAGAGCTAATGCTCAACACCTACAAAATTAAAACGATAATCAAACACACACACACACACCAACCCACACACACACACACACACACACA